AGAGGAGAGGAGAGGAGAGGAGAGGAGAGGAGAGGAGAGGAGAGGAGAGGAGAGGAGAGGAGAGGAGGAGAAGATTTCTTTTGGAAGGGACCTTGAATGATCATCTGGTCCAACTGCCTGACCAATTTGTGAGTGATCAAATTTAAAGCATTGTCCAAATGCCTCTCAAACCCTGATAGGCCTGGGGCATGGACCACCTCCTCAGGAAGCCTGTTCCAGTGTTTGGCCACCCTTTCAGTAAATAAATGCTTCCTAACATCCTGTCCAAAGCTCCCGGGCATAGCTTTGAACCATTCCCATGTGTCCTGCCACTGGATCCCAGGGAGAAGAGCTCACGTGTCCCACTGCTCTGCTGTTTTATGGCAAGGAGAGAGGCAGCAAGCTGTGAACAGAAGAGTTGTGGAGGGGGGAAGGGAATATTTATCTCCTTTTCTTGTGTCCTGTTGGAGGAGACCTGGCTTTCATTAGCGGTCCCTGCTCGCCGTACGTGATCCGATGCTGGCCATGGGAACGCCACAGCTCCGTCCCAGCCCGGGCTGGCTCCCAGCCACCTTCAGATGTTTGCTGTGAGGAGCAGCTGGGCAGCCTGGAAAGGCTTTATTCCATCTCACCAGGGTGAGAGCAACCTGGAGGGCAGAGTCCCTGCGCCCCATTCCCAGCACCTAACACTGGGCAAGGTTAATGAGTGTCGTGAAGGGACCTCGTTAATTCAAATCCACATCCTTGTGCTTTAATGAACAATGCTGACTCCACACCTCCAATTGAAGGATGCAGGATTCAGAGTTTTTAGTTCAGGCTGCCCGGGAATTTTGCCACAGGGCTCTTTTCCCAGCCCTGTACAGCTTGGCTTTGGATTTATCCCTCTTTCCCTGCTCTTATTCCTGTAACACCCAGCAGATCCCTCCCTGGGGCTGCTCCACAATCTGTGGCTATGGGAAAGAAAATGGGAAAAGGTGGGTTTGGGGAGTAGGAGATAAATGGATATCAGGAGGTCAGCTGGAGGAAGGAGAGGTCAGGACTGAGAGAGCACGGATCAGATAACTTGTTAGGCAGGGTGAAAAAAAAAGGACAGGAAATTCACATTTGTTACGGGAGAAAGGGAGGAAGCAAGTAAAGGGGATAAAATGGGTGAGGATACAGTTAAGTTAGCAGCCAGGGAAGATGCAAGGTGGAAGAAAGCAATTTTTTCTCTTCGAAAATATGCAGATGGGTTTGACTGCAATGTTTCACTGACTGAAAGCAATTTCAGGAAATTGTTCCCGAGTGAAGAAAAATAAAACACGTTTTTTCTTTTTTTTAGCAGAAATATTTCACTTCTCTTTGAAGCTTCTCTCACATTAACAAATTATCTGAGCAATTTATAAAAATACTTTAGAGATCACCGTGGTCAGACAAAGTGCTTGCTTGGCCCAAAACATAGTTATTTCATTAAAATGACGTTTCTGGTTACCCCACGGCAAATATGTTGATTTTTTTTCCGGCCTGGCCACCCCTCACCCCTATCAGTTATTTGTGCAGTTCTGGTTTTCAGCAAATTTACCCAGCTGACAGCAAGGATAGGACCCCAGCAGATGAGCACGAGGAGGAAGTCCTGTGAAGCAAGCAAGGTGATCATTAGAATCTGACCAAATCTATTGCCTACAAACATTAGCAGAGCACAGCTCCCCTCTTACCTGGGCATGGAGAGGGACACTGCTCCTCTTTCTCTTGGTATCATCTAAATCCGAGGCACAGTCAGCAGGGTTGGAAAGAAAACAGCTTTCCGAGCTCTTTTCCAAGTCTGGGGTGTGTGAACAAACACTCCAGCTCACAGAGGAAGCTGGTGGCAGATGGAGCAAGAGCTCTCAGCTCTTCTGCTGTGCTGGCCTGGGCTCCAACCACGAAACCACTGTGACTTTTCCCATCAGCTCACCTGACTCACCCTGCTCAGCCCAGGCCCACCAGGGCTGGGTCTCACCGAGGCTTGGCAGCCCCACCACTGCAGCTCACTGCACACATCCCTGGGATGACTCCATCACAGCTTGTGGGATCTGAAGAAGGTCAAGGAACTGTGGGAGAAGGAGGAGAAGTTGCTGGTGCTGAGCTGCTGTGAGCGCTTCTGGGCTGGATTACCCTGCTGTGGGCACTGTGCATAGTCAGTGCTCTGAAGAAAAAAGACACACAACTTGTTGCAACAACTTGAATTTGAAGGGTGATGCTCACATAGCTCTCATCAGTGCACATCCACATTAATTTCTGCATGGGCTGATAGACGACAAGGGGAGATTCAGATTAAATGTTTAGAGGATTTTTTTTTCCTATAAGGCTGATGATGCACTGGAACAGATTGTCCTGAGAAGCTGTGGCTACCACATCCTCAGAAATGTTCAACATGAGGCTAGACAGGGCTCTGAGCAACCTGGGATAGTGGAAGGTGTTCCTGTCCATGGCAGGAGAGTGGAAGGAGATGATCTCTAAGGTCCCTTTCAGCCCAAGCCATTTTATGATTCTATGATTCTAATGTGGTTTTGCCTATGGATATTTGCACCAGTTGTTCTTGGGTTCTTGTTTTCAGGCTGTCTGTAAAGCAGCCCATGATCACTCAAACAGCACTTTAGTTTTGAGCATAGCATCACCTTTTGCTTTTACATGAAGTGCCTGACTCCCAGCTGAACCAGGAAAAATAAACAGCGCACAGCAAAGTCATCACTGCGCAAAACTCAGAGCTGCCATGTGGGGATTGGCCAGGCTGATGTGATTTGCATCTCTGGTTGCAAGCATACAAATTTCTCAGGCTGGCAAAACCTCTTTATTTGGTGTAACTGGCTGGGAAGAGGGTTTTAATGATATTTTACCTGCTGCTGCTCTGAAAATTAATGGGGAGCACAGTCCCAGCAGCACAGGCTGAGCAATTCTGTGCAGTATGTTTAGATAAGGATTTACTTAGGAGTGCATTTCTTTGCAACCACATTTCTCATCCCTTATTTATTATGTGTCTGCATAATCCTCAGCTCACAGAACCAGTTCACATCTGATTCCTGAAGTTTTTATAGAAGGTCATGTGATTTTACTTAACTCCCTTGCTCAGGTGTTTACAGGCTGCACCCGGTGCAGGAGCAGTTTCATTTCTGCAGAAATGACACCCAGATTTTTTCCAACTCCTTGGACAATCCTGTCCTTTGCCAATGTTTCTTTCTTAAAACCAAACCTCTTGAAAGTCAGCAGCTTTACGGGACTTTATTAAATGGAATTTATTTTCAGTGTGTTTGAAGCCTTTTTGATTAAGGGTAACCATTAGAAAAGCAAATGAGACCATGGTAGATGGTTTTCTTTCCCACCTCAGGAATCTGGGGGCTTGCCTCCTGATTTCGAGCTAATTGGACCTGCATGTGCTGGCAGCTGTGTTTGAGGTGTGATTTTTTTTTGCAGGGTACAGAGCTGGCTGTGGCCAGGTGGTTGGAGCAGAGGGGTCAGGAGAAGCATGATCCCCAGAAACAGGTGCTGCCAACCCATGGGGTGCCCAGATCCCCTCACCCCCCTGGCTCTGATGCCTTTGGGTGCTGAAAGAAAAGCTTATAGGAAATTATTTGCCCTGGGATTATCTGTCCAGCATGGTTTTGTTTGTGCATCCAGGTGTGTTTCTGCATCACACACGCACAGAGCATCCTACCATTATCCCCAAAGTGCCTTGGCTGCACAAACAAAGACAGGGAAGCTCCAAGGGGATGTAAATCTCAAGCACCCGAGGCCTTAGGGCTGCTCCTGCTGCATGCCAGACAGCCTGTGCTTCAGCCTTGTTTTACTACACTGAAAAGTGTGGATGAAAACACCCTTAATCCCCTAGCCAGCATAATTTTTCCTGCAAATAGCCCCTGGCACATGGGCGTTTGCAATTCTCATTTGCACCTTAGAGGGAAAGCAGCTGCAAGGGGCAACAGTAGAGTTGCAAAGGTATTTTTGCTTGCTTTTTGTTATGTTCCCTGGGTTACATCCATGCTAGTCATGCTGTGAGCAGGGTGGGCAGCATTACAGGCCCTTAGACCCCCTGATAAATGTATAACTGTGGTTAATTAGGAGATGAAAACTTTGTGCCAATATAATTTATTTTTTTCTAGGAACTGCTCCAGACTATCCATGCCAAAGCTCTCCTCTGATGGCAAAATCTGCATCTTCCCTGGAGGACAGGTGTTTTGCTGCTTCTCCTACCTGAACTCTTTCAAGTATACACAAACCCCTGAGGTGAGTTTGTTATCCCGACACAAAACACCAGCTAGTGGAGCAGAGTCCCTCTGGGCTGCTCAGTAAACATCTCCCCCTGCAAACGTGGCCTCCAGGCACCAGTTTGTGATCCCAGCTGGTTTTAGATGCTCTGCTTGCAGATTCCCAGGGAATGGTAACGGGTGCTGAAATGGGTGAGGTGTGCCAGGATGGGAATTGAGGATTAAGGAGCAGACATTCTGCCTCTCCAGCCAACTCCTTCTGCTCGGGGCAGAGCCACTTCTGGCAGGCAGGTAGAGCGAGGATCTGCTCCACTTGGGGTGGCAGCTCCTCTGCTGTACCCTGAGCAGCACCTGATGTCTGAAGAAGCCACAGGCTGGAGTTGTTTCATTCCAGGCCAGGGTTCATCCCTTTTCCATCACTTATGGTTTGCACCTGCCAGAGATGTTTGGAGGAAAGGTGAGGAGATAGCCCTGGAGAGATGCCCAAGCCCTGCTGCAGCCCGAGGCTCAGCCCAGCTCCATCTCATGGATGGACACGGTCGTGGTGCTGCTGGTATAGTGGTGACCCCAGGGTGTGCCTGCAGCAGCCAAGTGTGGGAAACACCAGCAGTTTTGGGGGTTGGGCAGCTCCAGCTCCTTTTCTCAGATATGGGGAAAAAATAACACAGCAGCTTTCCCCTGCTGCTGACAGGAACCTGTGAGCTCGGTTCCAAGAGCACTCCATCCCTTTCCTGCTCTCCAAAATCAGGCAACTTCATAGGTGCTCAGCACCACCAGACCCAGATTATAATGGCTTCGCCATTTCCCATGTTCTCCACCCCACAAATCTGCAAAAGCAAACTTTCCCTTTTCCTAGTTAAGGAAAAAGAGCAAAAGAGAGGGAGAGGCGCTTTCCAGCCTTTCTGATTGCAAACCAAGGTAAACTCTCGCCTGTGAGACCACAGCCAGGCAGACTGCAACAATAACACCCTGAGAAAAGGGTGTGCTCCCATTCATCTCAATGGGTGTTGACTTGGAAGGGTAATTATGACCCCTCCATGCCAAGAGTTCTAACCATTTCACTGCTGAGCATCCCAGCCCATAAATAAAGCCTCTGGCCCCTGCGCAGAATCCCGGGTGGGAGGGAAGCCGTGTAGCAATGAGGCGTTGACTTTGGACGTGCCAGGAGTGTGAGATGCTTTGGTTCCTGCTGAGGCTCCCAGCTTTTCCACGAGCCTGTGTCCGTGGAGGCCACGCAGGGATGACCTGGAGGAGCAGCCTCGGGAAAGGAGCCAGAGCCCCGGTGAATTTACTGTGATTTTGGCAAAAAGCGCCTCGCAGCGAATTTGGCTCAGCTGCACAAAGGGATCATCTGGCAAACGCCTTGTGCTGGGTTTCCCTGGGAAACTCAGCTGGCGTTAAGATAAACAAGGTCCCAGGGAGCAGAGGGGGGAACAGGGTGGAGGTGGCTGTGGGCAGCTCGTCCCTTCCTTTGGGTGAGCATTTGTGTGTGGAGCCACTGGTGAGGTCAGGTCCCCACCGTCCCCGGGCTGCACAAAAGGCACGTGTTTTAATAATCTAATTAGCCGAGACAGCCAAATAGGAGGAAGAAAGGAAATGTAGAAAGAAAGGGAGTGGTTCGGGCAGAGTCACGCAGGCTGTGCTGCCTCCATCCCCCTGCTCTGAGGGAAAGGAACCCACCCTCCAATATGCAAAAGTGGAAGCTGGCACAGAGCCTTCTTCTGAGCAGAGATGTGCAGCAAGGGGCATGATCTGCTCCAATTCATTAACTCTGGAACCTACAGCTCCAGCCAAGTGTCTCTTACTTGTTTCTGCAATACAAGTGTGAGTAAAGAAAATAATCTTGCATATCACTGGCATCTCATGTCCCATCATGTGAGAGTGGCTCATCCCTCCTTCTGACACCCCACAGATGGACCAGAGAAGAACTGGGGAGCTGGCATTGTCACAGTGTCCTTCAAAGGGAAAAAAATGGCACAAGGCTTTGGTGTTAGCACCAGAAATCATCCATGTTCCCTCAGCTGCTTTTGTCTTTTACTCCTGAGGTTTCGTCTGGTATATATATCTCAGTGGGGCACAGTTGAGTCTAATGTAAATAACTCTGTGCTCCTTTACTGAAAGTAAAAGGAAGGAAATTAATGACAACAATAAAATAAAGCCCAAGCCTCCCACTTACAGTCAGTGCTGGCTCTGCCCAGTTAACCCTTGTTTGGTTTTGGTTTTCTAATAGCCAGGGAAGGTGGTTTCCTCTTCGTTTGAGCTGTGCTATTTTAGTTTTCCACTCTAAAATTGCCTCTCCGCTCATAGCAACAGGGATGCAAAACCCAGCTTCTTTTAACTCCACACTTACCATTAATAATTTAGATTTTGCTATGGGGGTGGCAGACACCCCAATAAGGCACTACTGTTGTTGGAACTCTAGAAGTCTAAAAAATATTGTTAGTGTTGTGTTGAGATTCAGGGCTAATGGACCAATGTGAGGATTTTAATAATGTGTAAATCTCCCACATAGTAAATATGAGGGTGAGCACCATGTATTA